TGATATTAAAAGACATTCCTCTACTTTTTTCATAGCTGATGGATCTATATAGTCGTGTTTGGGTCAAAAGCATTGAAACCTGACGATGCATTTTCACTGGAGTGGTTAAGTGAAGTGAGAAATATATTTGAGAGCATTTTTTTTTCATTATAATTGGTATTCTTAATTATAAATTTTTTTATGTATTATGAGTTGTTGTAGTTTTTTTGCTTTGTTTTTGTTTGTTGATGTAGTTGTAGGGATTTTATTGGTCTACGATTTTGTCTCTCAGTCTGTCCTATAATCTTTATTCTTCTTTTCTCCGTCTGTTCGTCCATTATCTCTCTCTCTCTCTCTCTCTCTCTCTCTCTCTCTCTCTCTCTCTCTCTCTCTCTATCCCTATCATATTTATTATTCGTTGTTGAGAATTTTTGCATAATAAATAAAATAAAAATAAAATAAAAATAAAAGAATTAAAAAAAAGATTAGTAGTCCTCGTTCACATCTGCGAGCGAATGAAGACCATTTCATCGAATAACAGTGAAAAAATTGGACATTATTAGCCGACGTTTCACAAGAATAAGGGTGAAAAAATTAATGACTTTTCTTCTTTGACATTTCACTGAGTGACGATGAAGATTGAGACCTTCTTTTCAGGCGTTTTTTTATTGTGAAATTGGACCTATTTCACTGGATTGGGAAGGAAGGATTATTTCTCGTTGTTAATTGGTGATTAGAGATCACTTCAGTCACTCAAGTACCGTTAGGCTGTTAGGAGATTCATTGGGGTAAAATTGATTTGCTTTTTGTCATTGTGCAGAAGGACCAAGTTATGTGTCTTCGAGGCTCAATGGAAGTGATTTCTGGACGCTGTCTTGTGCCTTGAAGTCGCGTCTTGATGCCTTGATGTGTATATATATATATATATATTATATATATATATATATATATATATATATATATATATATATATATATATATATATATATGTGTGTGTGTGTGTGTGTGTGTGTGTGTGTGTGTGTGTGTGTGTGTGTGTGTGTGTGTGTGTGTGTATGTGTGTGTGTGTGTGTGTGTGTGTATGTGCATATATGTGTGTGTGTGTGTGTGTGTATATATATATATATATATATATATATATATATATATATATATTATATATATATATATATACATACATACATACATACATGTAGAATGCCTACATTAGTGTGCCATTACTTGAAACCGTTCCAAATCAGCTCAGACGCACACAAAGAAGTTCCTTGTCTCTGATATCCGGCCGCCAGATGAACCCTTTGAGATCACGTGTCCTAACGAGTGTGTAATTAGTACTGTTTGTGAAACGCCCTGCTATTCTCTTTATCCTCCTTTGTCACTGGTTCCTCTTTCTCTTTTGATTCTGTCTGTTATGTCTCCTTTCGTCTTTGTGTGTGATGATGTAACCCTTTTTCTCTCTTTATTTTTTTTTTCTATTTTCTTTTCTTTCTATATATTTTTTTCTTTCGTTTATTCTCTTCTCTTTCTTTCTTTTCTCTTTCCTTCCTTTCTCTTTCTCTTTCACTCCTTCTCTTTTTCTTTTCCTTCTTCTACCCTATGACATATTCTCTAATCTTTCTCTCTTTCTCCTCTTCCCTATCTCCATTTTCTTCTCTCTTTCCCTCATCCTCGTCCTATCTCTTGTTCCATTTCATTCCCCTCTCCTCTTTTCATTTCACTTCTTCCCTCTTCACTCTCCCTTTCCTTTATTCTTTTTAATCTTTCCTTTATTTCCCACCCCTTCCACCTCCTCATTATTATTTTTTCCTCTTTTTCCATCCTCTCCGTTCTCCCTCCCTGCTTCTCCTTCCCTCCCTGTTCCTCCCTCCTCCTCTTTCTTCCCTTCTCCCCCTCCTCCCCCTCCTCCTAATCTCCCTCTCATCTATCTACCTTCCTCCCTCCTTCTTCCTTTCCTTTTCCACCCTCTCCCCTTCTTCTCCCTCCCTCCTCCCTTCTTTTCCTTCCTTCATCTTTCTACCTCCTTCCCCATCCTCCCTCCCTCCTCCTCCTCCCTTCCTCCCTCCCCTCTTTCTCCCTCCATCTCTTTTACCCTCCATCATCTCTTTACCTCCTTTTCCCTCTCTCCTCCCTCCCTCCTCCTCCATCCCTCATCTCTTTACCTCCTTCTCCCTCCCTCCTTCTCTATCCCTCCCTCCCCTCCTCCCTCCTTCCTCCCTCCGTCCTCCTCCTCCCCCCTCTCCTCCTCCCCTTCCTCCCTCCTCCCTCCTTTCCTCCCTTCTTCCTCCCCTTTTTTCCTTCCCACATCCTTCTCTTCCCTTCAAATCCCCCCCGCATACCGACTGGAGCAAGTCACTCCCCGAGCCTCCATCCCTACAGGTGTTCGCATGCCAAGTGCACACCGGCAGTCATACGCATCCAGGATTTATTGATCACTAGACGAACGGGTGTGTCCGCATGCGTGTCTAGTTGGCATCCGAGACAACCTTTTATGCGAACGGGATTTCCACCTTTGTTGTCCCGCGGGATCGCACTCGGACGCTGTTCTCAATCACTTCTCGATCGTTCGCGTCGGGGGTGGAGGAGGAGGGAGGTGGAGGTGGCAGGAGGAAGATGAGGGGGAAGGGGGAAGGAGAGGAGGAGGAGGAGGTGGAGGTGGTAGGAGGGGAAGGAAGGAGTAGGGAAGAAGAGGAGGCGGAAGTTGGGGAAGGAAGGGAAGGAAGGGAGAGAGGGAAGAGGAGAGGATGAAGGGAGAGGACATGGAGGAGGGAAGGGGGAGGAGAGGAGGAGCAGAAGAGGAGGGGAAGAAGGAAGGAGGAGGGCGAGGAGGGGGGAATGGGAGAGAAGGAGGAGGAGGAGGAGGAGGAGGACAAGGACGAGGAGGAAAAGGAAAGGGAGGGGGGAGGAGAATAGGAGAGAAAAGGGGGAGGAGGAGAAGAAGAGAAAAAGAAATAGGAAGACGAGGAGGAAGAAGAAGAAAAAAAGATTCAGAAAAAGGAGGAGAAAGAGGAAGAGGAGAGGGAAGAAGCTCTTTGGAGACCGGAAGGAAGGAAGCAAGAAATAGGATTTCCTTGTTATTATTGTCGTTTATTTTGTTCTTCGACGGATTCTGTTCATCATGTTGATATCATGAACATCAAGGATAGTCGGGATGCTTTTACTGTACTTGTTTTATTCAGTTAAATAGTGCTGCATCATCTTTCACCTCCAGACACCATAACACCATACCCTACCCGCTGTCTTTAAAGGAAAAAAAGAGAAAATAAACAGAGAAGGGGTGTTCAGTAAAGAAAAGATAAAGAGAAGAAGAAAGAGAGTGAGTAGTGAAAGAGAGAGATAAAGAGAAAGAGAGAAAATCTAAAAAGAGAGAGAGAGAGAAAAGGGAAGAGAGAACAAGAAAAAAAGAGAGAGGAAAGAGAATCAGACGGATCAACATACACAGATACATACACCACACACACACACACACACACACACACACACACACACACACACACACAACAAAATCCCTCCTTTCCGTTTTGAGAAAGACTCTGAACGAATTACAACAGTTCAGACAATGCTACATTACATCTCCATAATTGCATTAATTATATATACTACAGTGAATAGCCTCCCCGTCTGCCCTTCCCTCCTTTCTGATGCCATTACCATTCGGACTAACTTGGCTCTCATCCCATACTCCCATGTCCTGTTAGTAAATAAACTTTATAGGAAGCATTTATAGGATTAAGTGTATCCTTTAAAAAAAAAATTCACGATTTGTATTTTTTTTTTTTTTTTTTGAAGGGGTGTAGTTATTTGTTTTTCGGTTGTTGTTGTTGTTTGTTTGTTTGTTTGTTTTTTTGATTATAGGAAACATTTATAGGATTAAGTGTATCCTTTTAACTTTTTTTCACGATTTGTATTTTTTTTTTTTTTTTTTGAAGGGGTGTAGTTATTTGTTTTTCGGTTGTTGTTGTTGTTGTTTTGTTTGTTTGTTTTTTTGATTATAGGAAACATTTATAGGATTAAGTGTATCCTTTTAACTTTTTTTCACGATTTGTATTTTTTTTTTTTTTTTTTGAAGGGGTGTAGTGATTTGTTTTTTGGTTGTTGTTTTTTTTTGTTTGTTTTGTTTGTTTTGTTTTTTATTATAGGAAACATTTATAGGATTAAGTGTATCCTTTTAACCTTTTTTCGCGATTTGTTTTTTTTTTTTTTTTTTTTTTTTTTGAAGGGGTGTAGTGATTTGTTTTTCGGTTGTTTTTTGTTTGTTTGTTTGTTTTTTTGAGTTTTTGGTAAGTTTTGTTGTCTTTTTGGCTTACTGTGTAATGCATTATGATCAAAGCGGATGTAAATTTGTGTTTTTCGTAATAAATACAAAAAAGTGTTTAAAGTTATTACTGATTTTGTAGACAGATAGACGGATAGGCAAGCAGGAAGGTAGGAAGGCAAGCAGACGGGCAGGCAGGCAGACAGACACACAGACAGACAGGCATATAAGGTGACAGACAGACAGAGACGCACATACACACATGCGCATACACACATACACGAATACATTTCCCTCATTTTCCCTCACCCTCCACCTCTCTCTCTCTCCCTCTCTCTCTCCCCTTCTTTCTTTATCTCTCTCTCTCTCTTATATGTATGTATGTATATGAATATATATATATATATATATATATATATATATATATATATATATATATATATATATATATATATATACTATATATATATAATATATATATATATATTATATATATATATATATATATATATATATATATATATATATATAATATATATATATATATATATATATATATATATATATATATATATATATATATATTCATATATATACATATACACACATACTTAACACACACACACACCACACACTCTAAACATAACCCCCTCCCCCCCAACCGCCCCCCCCCCCCGCCCGCCCCCACCCCCCCCCCCACGCCCCCGCCCCCCCTCACGCGACCGATAAGAACTTGGGCGCCAGCGAGCCTTCTGCCCGCGATAGGACGCTACTCTTCCGTGCCTCCGCGCAGATAACGCTTATCTCTCTCGTCTAATGCTTCCCTTTCGCGGGGCTTGGCTGGATGGCGGTGTGGATGAGGTGGGTGAGGAGTGGATGGCGTGTGGATGAGGTGGGTGAGGAGTGGATGGGGAGTGGATGAGGTGGGTGAGGAGTGGATGGCGGTGGTGGATGAGGTGGGTGAGGAGTGGATGGCGGTGTGGATGAGGTGAGGAGTTGGCGGTGGATGAGGTGGGTGAAGGAGTGGATGGCGTGATGGCGGTGTGGATGAGGTGGGTGAGGAGTGGTGGCGGTGTGGATGAGGTGGGTGAGGAGTGGAGGCGGTGTGGATGAGGAGTGGATGAGGTGGGTGAAGTGGATGGCGGTGTGGATGAGAAGTGGGTGAGGAGTGGAGGATGATGTGGATGAAGTGCATGGCGATGTGGATTATGTGGATGAGGAGTGGATGAGATGGATGTGCGAGTGGAGTGGGATGAGGAGTGGATGGTGATGTGGATGAGGATGGGTGAAGTGGATGAGGAGTGATGAAGTGGATGGCGTTGTGGATGAGGTGGATGGCGGTGTGGATGAAGTGGATAGTTATGTGGATGACGATGTGGATGATGTAGATGAGGAGTGGATGGTGATGTGGATGATGTAGATGAGGAGTGGATGATATGGATGGCGATGTGGGGGAGGTGTGTGTGTGTTTGGATTTATGTATCTCTATCTTGAAAAGATTGATAAATGAAGTGGATAAGATTAATGGTCGTTGGATAAGGTGGATGATGTTTATAGGATGGGAGATAATGTGGATGAGGTGGATAATGATGTGGGTGAAGGTGATATGGATAAACTGGATAATATTGATCAAAATAGCTGTCTAGGATTCTTCCCTATTTATGTTATTATCATTAGTATTATTATCATTATTATTATTATAATTATTATTGTTGTTGTTGTTGTTGTTGTTCATATGAGTATTGGCAAATTTTCCAGGTATCACTTACTGTTTTTTTCTTTTCTTCTTATTCTTTTATTTTATTTTATTTTATTTTCTATATTACCTCGGTTTCATTGTTGATTGTAGTTTCCAGTAATTTATTTTTCATTTTATATTTGTACCGACTTACCCATTGGTCTGTAATAAAGAATTCAACGTACTCCTCTCTCCTCTCTCTCTCTCTATCTATCTATCTATCTATCTATCTCTTCTTCTTTCTTTCCTCTTCTCTATCTATCTATCTATCTCACTTTCTTTCTTTCTCTCTATCTATCTATCTATCTATCTATCTCTCTCTCTCTCTCTCTCTCTCTCTCTCTCTCTCTCTCTCTCTCTCTCTCTCTCTCTCTCTCTCTTCTCTCTCTCTCTCTCTCTCTCTCTCTCTCTCTCTCTCTCTCTCATTCATCTAACTAAATGTATCCATTCCCTTAATCAAATATATATGTCAAAGAGCCATTTTTATGTCAACTACTTCTAAATTCTCAATGCTTAATGGTTCATTGCATCAACAAATATCAAATATGATTTTCACAGAATTATATACAAATAGATAGATAAAAAAATAAAAAGAAAAAAATATATATATGTGTGTATTTGACGTTCCATGTTTACAGATTTCTGAAGCATAACTATTGAATTTTCCAGCTGATAAACCAAAGCTTTAGTGCGCTTTATATATTTTGAAGTTATTTATATATGTTATTAGTTATATGTTGAAGTTATTTATTTATATGTTATTAGTTATAGTTATTTAAAGTGCTTAGTTATATGTCGACAGATTGTAAAAAAAAAAAAAAAAAAAAAAAAAAAATTTACTGCCCAGTTTTCAGTTATCCGAAGTTACGTAAATTGTTGTTATTCGAAAATACATCTTATATGAAATAGTTGCGTGGAAGAGGTGCAGTGCATAGCTTGGTATATGAATAGATATAAATGGATATTGATATAGATAGAATTGAAAATGAATAGATACGTGAACGAACGAAGAAAGATATTAACAACTTTAACAATAACAAGAACATCAACAAGCACAAAATACCGGACACCAAACCCTAAACAATAGATACGTAAAAGAAATCTTCTGTGTACGTATCCCCTCCCACCAAGAATAATAATAATAATAATAATGATAATAATAATAATAATAATAATAATAATAATAATAATAATATAATAATAATAATAATAATAATAATAATAATAATAATAACAATAATAATAAAAAGAAGAAGAAGGATAATAACAACTCTAACAATAACAAATAACAAGAACACCAACAAACACGAAATACCGGACACCAAACCCTAAACAATAGAAGCGTAAACGAAATCTGTGCACGTATCCCTTTCCCGCCAAGAATGATAATAACAATAATAATAATAACAATAATAAGAACAAGGACAATAACAACAAACAACAAAAACACCAACAAACACGAAATACCGGACACCAAACCCTAAACAATAGAAGCGTAAACGGAATCCTTTCCGCACGTATCCCCTTCCAGCAGATATAATAAAAACAATAATAACAATAACAAGAACAAGGATACTAATAACTCTAACAAAAACAAATAACAAGAACACCAACAGACACGAAATACCGGACACCAAACCCTAAACAATAGAAGCGTAAACGGAATCCTTTGCGCACGTATCCCCTTCCAGCAGATATGATAAAAACAATGATAACAGTAACAAGAACAAGGATAATAATAACTCTAACAATAACAAATAACAAGAACACCAACAAACACGAAATACCGAACACCAAACCCTAAACAATAGAAGCGTAAACGAAATCTGTGCACGTATCCCTTTCCCGCCAAGAATGATAATAACAATAATAATAATAACAACAATAAGAACAAGGACAATAACAACTCTAACATAACAACAAACAACAAAAACACCAACAAACACGAAATACCGGACACCAAACCCTAAACAATATAGGCGTAAACGGAGTCCTCTGAGCACGTATCCCCTTCCAGCAGATATGATAAAAACAATAATAACAATAACAAGAACAAGGACAATAACAACTCTAACAATAACAAATAACAAGAACACCAACAAACACGAAATACCGGACACCAAACCCTAAACAATATAGGCGTAAACGGAGTCCTCTGAGCACGTATCCCTCCCAACAGATATAATAATAACAATAATAACAGTAATAAAAACAAGGATAATAACAACTATAACAATAACAAACAACAAAACACCAACAAACACGAAATACCGGACACCAAACCCTAAACAATAGAAGCGTAAACGAAATCTGTGCACGTATCCCTTTCCCGCCAAGAATGATAATAACAATAATAAGAACAAGGACAATAACAACTCTAACAATAACAACAAAACAACAAGAACACCAACAAACACGAAATACCGGACACCAAACCCTAAACAATAGAGGCGTAAACGGAGTCCTCTGAGCACGTATCCCCTTCCATCAGCGCAGGTGAATTGTCAATTTGACTTGGCAGCTTGACCATGGCGAGGGTGAGAGGCGCCCAGGTTGATTAGCTCGATTTTGCAAAGGAAGACTTCGATTTCGCTGGAACTGATAGGCTTATGGATGGATGGGTGGAAAGGAGAGAGAGAGGGGGGAGGGAGGGAGGGGGGAGGGAGGGAGGGAGGGAGAGAGGAGAGAGGAGAGAGAGAGTTTGAATTTATGGATGGATGGGTGGAAGAGAGAGAAGAGGAGGGGGGGGAGGGGGGGGAGGAGGAGAGAGAGAGAGAGAGAGAGAGAAAGAGAGAGAGAGAGACAGACAGACAGACAGACAGACAGACAGACACAGACAGAGAGGAGAGAGAGAGAGAGCGTGAGTGCGTGTGTCTGGATTTATGTATGAATTTATGTAGGTCTATGTTGAATTAACTGACAGATTGATTACAGTAGATAGATAAATTGAATATACATACAGCACATATGTATTATATATTTGTGTTTATGTATGAACAGATAGATATGTTGATTTAAATGATGGATGTTTTTTTGCATGCATATCCCAGTATATTTGCGTATATGTGTGTTTGCGCTTGTGTGTGTGTGTATGTATGTGTGTGTGGTGTGTGTGTGTGTGTGTGTGTGTGTGTGTGTGTGTGTGTGTGTGTGTGTGTGTGTGTGTGTGTGTGTGTGTGTGTGCGTTCGCTTGTTCCTGTGTGTACATCCTTTTTTCCTCTTTACTCTCAACATTTGTTCTGAAAATTTTACTGCTGTTGGTCGGTGGCAAATAAGATTCTTCTTCTTCGAAAAAAAAAATCAGTCTTCTAGTCAGCTAATTAACTTGAACTTTGAACTGTTTCATCACATAATTGTAACAGGAATAAATCAAATTATCTTTTATATTAAATCAACTTCTTTTCTCTCAAAAAAGAACGGATTTTAAAAAGCCTTCGCGACGGAAAAAAAGGATGTACTCATGTCCGAATAACGGCTTCGGATAATTGCTTCGAAACAAGACCTGCGAGTCGAGACGGATTAAATAGGCGGAATTAGCGCTCTGAATAAATAGCACGATAATCTTTCTCTCTTCTTAAAAAAGGCGGAGAAGGTAAACGCGTAAATGTAGAACTCACCGTGGAACAATTTCAGTGAAAAGCGTCTGTTTGACTGTGTGTATAACAATCTGGACAGCGACGTCTCGAACTGTGTTTCGAATTTCCATAACTTCTAAGGGAGAATGGAAGTATAGGAACGTCTTGTATTTTGTATCGCAAACTTTTCGTAAACCTTTTAAAGTGCGTTTACAGTATAAGAAAGAGAGAGAGAGGCAGACACACACAGACAAACAGACAGAGAAAGACAGACAGACGATGCAGACAAGAGACAGAGAGGACAGACAAACAGACAGAGAAAGACCGACACACAGAGAAGGACAGACAGACATACAGACAGAGACAGACCTATGGAGACAAGAGACAGAGAAGGACAGACAGACAGACAGAGAAGACGACAGACAGAGGACAGACAGACAGACAGACAAACAGACAGAACTAATCAGACAAAGAGCTTTAGCAAGGAAATCACCTCACTTCCGGCAATTCTTTAAGCGCACATCCAAAGAGACAAGAGACTTGTTCTTAAAAGTACTTCCTTAGCCTGTGACAATCTTCCCAAGATGAGGAAAAGGAGGTAACAAAGAAGGGATATAGAAGTACCCAAAAGGAAACACAAACACACGCAAATAGAGAGATTGATAGAGAAGAAAGAGAGAGGGGGGGGGGAGAGAGAGTGAGAAAGAGAGAGAGAGGGAGGGAGAGAGAGGGGGGGAAGGAGAGAGAGAGAGAGAAAGAAAGAGAGAGAGAGAGAGAGAGAGAAATGGAAAGAGAGAGAAAGAGGGAAATAGAGAGAGGGAGGGAGAGAAAGAGAGAGAGAGACAGAGAGAGGAGAGCGACCGCAAATAGTCCTTGCAATAT